GACTCTACTTCTTACAAAACAGTTGCAAAAAAGCAAATGTTCAATGACATTTCAGACTCAAAAATATATCTATTTTAAATGATATATTTTGAAGACTTTTCTTAACCTACCCATAATCTCATACAGTTTTATGTTTATTTAAAAACTATGTTTATTTATCCCCATCCACCTACTCCCAAAATCATTAATTGTGATTATCTTGTTAAAGGCAGCTATTCCAACTTGGATTTGTTGATGGCTGCATTCACAAATCCACAGCTATTGATTGCGCTCTCACTGGCAGGGCCCTCCTTACAGTCTTGTCTTGACTTCTATTGTAACTGTAATGCCTTCCATATATTGTAAAACGCTGCACAAACTGTTGGCGCTATATAAAACCTGTATTATAATTATAATATGAATGGGAGAGTCTAGGTTGGTTATAATCAGCTGGTGGGCAGCCTGCATTGTAGTGTGGAAAGCTGCAGTGTCTGCATCCCTTTCACTTAGGAAATACCTACCAAAAATGAAATTGCTATTGCAAGGGATGCCTAAATTTTAACTTCTAACTTAGTGCAGACTTCTGGGAAAATCAGTTAGCCAATCACAGAAGCAGGAAGTGACATTTCTGGGGGCGTTCCCTAGGTCAACATACTGCATTGCATTTTTTTTTTTACAGTTTTAGAAAATGACAGTGACTGCAGTTTTAAATGGAAAAGTAATTTTTAATTACATTAAATTAAAAAATGGCATGTGCAGCAATTATATTTGCTACATTAATTTTTTCTAAGATTTTTTTAATTTTTAATTTTTTTAAGTGGAATTTCACTTTAAGTCTTCACAAGATACAGTAAAGCCAAGACAAAAGTCACTGCATGCCAGACTGGATAAAGGAAAGAATATTGCAGGTGAAGGTAAAGAAAATTGGCAGCCTAAACGCAACATGTATGAAAAAAGTGCTCATAGATTTGAAGGGGGACCTCATTTATTTTAATCAACTTATTAAATATTTTTTAGTGCAAGTCACAGAAAACATTTTAACTTTGATTAGGGCTGCAACAACTAATGCAACAACATTATTAAATCAATCAATTATCAGCCTACTAATCGATTATGAAAATAACCGTTAGCTTCCGCCCTAAGTTTGATCATTCGAATTGTAATAGTAATGATCTTCACTTATACCAGAAATGAGAACCTTTATTGAATATGAACTCTGTCGCCCATTGGCGAATAACATACATGATGTAGCTATGGCAATAGTTTCAGTAGTGCGTACATCTATTCTCATTCAGTGTAGCAAGGCATAGAGCAGTGATCATGTACAAAGTGCTGTAACACACAACTCACAAATAATCTCTCAGCTCATATGTCTACAGTATATTGAATACAATCTGATAGGTGACTACAGGGTAATGTGATTTGCGTCACATTAATAAATAAGTCTGCCTTTACTGTATTAATAAACTTTGAGAAGTTTCATTGTACAGAAATGTATTTATTTTTTTCACACTGGTAGATTATAATAAGGTTATAACATAGATAAGCCAATATCTATGTTATGTCTATGTGTGATTTTACATTCATTATCTTCCCTAGAAAATTGTTTGTATTTGCGTACTAGTAAGCTACTATAGTTGGACATTTTCAGCTGATGATGCCATGGGAATTATGAGTGAATAATCTTTGAGGTCCTTATTCAGAAAATGCTGTTACTTTTAACATGGACTTCCATTAACCTGCAAATTGTTAACAATTTGTCAAACATGACACATCATGTACAAGTCCTCTATGGCAAACTAACTCTGTGGGGCGTCGCTTCTCTACCATATGAGCTCCATCAAAATAAGGCTCAGCAACACCAAATGAAATGCTATATAGAGTTAATTTTAGAACAAATCACAAGAAAAAATAATTAGCATTATATATTTATTTATTACAGGTATTTATATAGCGCTGACAATTTACGCAGCGCTATACATAGTTGCCCATTCATATCAGTCCATGCCCTCAACGGGCTTACAATCTAAGGTCACTATCTCACTTGCATACATATGAGGGCCATGTAACCTACCAGCATGCCTTTGGAGTGTGGGGGGAAACTGGAGTACCCGGAGGAAACCCACACAAACAGAGGGAGAACATGCAAACTCCTGCAGATAGTGAGCTGGCCAGGATTCAAACTAGGGACCCCCAGTGCTGCATTGTAAAGCATTTTCTATACATTTAATTTTTACAATTTTTTTAAAGCGTTTCAGTTGTTATGCTGTCAGGTTTTATTGCCATCAGTGTCCACATTAGGAAAATTTGCTTTCACTTTTTGTCTTGAAAGCAACAACAGGAAATCATAAAAAAAATCACCAAAGTGAAGGGAAGTCCTGCCATTGGAAAAAGTTGTTCCCATTTGAATAGATCTCCTCACCTCCAGAGCTGGTGAGAACTGTAAAATTTTAGATGTCCCTTTACATTCTGTTCCATTGATGGCAGGCCCCTGGTGGACATAAAGTGAATGTGATGCTCCCAAATTGAGTCACAGACTGGAGCAAACAGACTCTGGAGCAGTTGCCCATGGCAACCAATCAGCATCTCTCTTCAGTTTGCTCAGGTAAGATTTGAAAATGAAAGATAGAAGCTGATTGGTTGCAGTGCAAATCTGCTCCAGATTTTGTCTGCTCCAGTTTTGATAAATTCCCCCCACAGACACTAATAAAAACCTGACAAAAGTTCTAACCCATAACAACAATCTGAAACTAACGGTTTTGGAATTCCATTGTAACTCCATTATAACTCTGACTCAAAGGATAAATGTAGTTATAGTTTATGTCCTAAGTTTGTCCTTTAATCATACATTGATAACCAATACTGAATTTCTGCAAGTTGCATGTCATCTGTTGCATCAAAGACATATCTTTTCACTCAGTGGGTGAGCTAACACATCAGCATCCACAGTTTTGAGTGGACTTAGAAAATGCATATCTTTAAATAGTTTTTCTCCTAAATACACGTTTTTGGTATTTCTGCCTTTTCCGCAGGTAACGAGGAATGGATAACTCACTTTTTTCCCTTTAGGTCCACTTTAAAAATAAACTGGGGCTGTGCAATCTGCCAAAATGAAATAAAACATGAATACAAATAATAGCGACAGTACAGACTCATACCAAACATTAATGTACATCCAGCTGGAAGTTTTAAGGAACCTGCGATACTGGATCAAATACCATTTTAAGCTTAGTGGCCAATTAAACTTATGAAGGACAAAGCTTGTAATAAGCTGTTTAATTTCTGGATTCAAGCTTTGAACCATTTACTTTCTCTTACTCTGCAATGGAGTGTAAAGAGCTTTGAAGCACAGAGCAATTTTAAAAACTTTCTGCCATCATCCCTATGTTATTTTTAGAATGATGTAATGGTCCCAGGAGATTATAATTATTCATTGAATTAACAATGTTTTGTGTAAAGTCTGGATTGCTCAGCCATGCAAGTTCTGTAATATTTCTCCTTAAATATTCCGAACAATCTGGATATAGAACATTTCCCTAAAACAATTCTAGTTATCTTTTTTATTATAAAGATTTTTTTTCAGTACTCAGTCAAGAATGTAAAATTTCAGATGTTGTTGCTGATCGATTTCCATGCTCCAAAATCTTTATCAATGAGCATGAACAACTCCAAGGCTACTACCATTTGGAAGTGCTCGTATTTTGTGGGTCCATTGCTGTGAAAAGAACCAGGGTGTATTATGCTGACAGATAGTTAAAAACATCTCTCTATGTGGCCACAGGCTTGAAGTAGCTCATCTGTGCTAATAAAAAAGCCAAATGTGGAGGGCTCTGAGCAGGGAGACCCCTGCCATTTAGCAGATGCATGGGGCATGGGGCAAATTAGTTTTTCTACTTTCTGCTTGAAAGCAGTTAGCCGCTTTGAAGTGGACCTTTCAGTTCCACAAGCATGTAAACATAGACCTTCATAAATGGCTCTATAGCCTATGTCAAATGGACTTATTTTCCCTGAATATACAGCCTAAGCAGGGTATATAGTGTTAAAACTAATATTGTCAGTTTAATGTTTTTTTTTTATCGACTCTCCCTTCTCACCGCACTTCAAACCACTCTGGTAGTTGACGTATGCCTGCTGCCCTGCAGGAAGGACAAGTGATTGCCACAGAAGGGCAGGGGTTTCCTTGACGTGTGGGCTGTAATTGACAATTTATTTGTAACCCCATGTATGCTTTGCAAGCAGCAAAATAGCAGGGCCCTGTGGAAGAGTAACCAGGTTGTCTCGAAACATCGTTTGTGAGACCTCATTTCCTCCTGCCACTATCTGGGTGCTAATTAGCTAATCTGTGCCTCCATGTTGGTTGCATATTTTTGTATATATTACTATGATCTATGTTCATTTGGATATGTTTAATTATTCTGAAATGATATTAAATGCACATATACTGTAACACAGGACGTGTTCCTTTTTGATTAATATTGGTGGAATAGGACTGAATCCCTATTTTGGACATTAGCAACTGATTTTCTTCTGCTTTTCCCGTATCTTGACATTATTAGATATGCCAGGGATACATCTATTCATTGTCCCGAGAGACATCTACAGAATTTTTGTGCACCTTCATATTTGTCAAGAGTTTTTGTAAACATTACACAAAGGAAGGATTTACCCAGTAAAATGCAATATATTGACAAAGCAATGACTGTGTCCTATAAAAATGAATACGCCAACAAGCAAATTATTATGAAATGTAAATCTGTCATATTTGAAGCAACGTTATTGTGCTACAACCATACAGAAACTGCTTGGTCCCTGCTTGGGACACCATGGTCCCTGTGTGTGTGTTTTGTAAAGTACCCACCACTCCAAGCCCATCCCTATGATGTACTACAATCTCACATTTAGTTTACTAAATTGTATTGAGATTGTAGTCCAACACGGGAGTGAGCTTGGAGCAGTGGCTACATTACAACACACAGGGACCATGGGGAACAAAAGTAGCCACCCTCTAGAAGGAGGGACAGTGTCAGCACCAATTCAGAGATGATTTGAAGATCTACAGCTGAGTGATACACAAAGAAGATACAGTATTGCTAATAGTTATGGTACTAGAATGTATGTTCAAGACTTAATTCCTGAGTTTAGTGTCATTTAAAGCTTTACCACAATCTGCAGCACAGTGTGGATTCCTGCAAATACTTACTCCAGCTTGTTCCCCTCAACCTCTATTGTTTTCATTAGACAATAATTAATACTGAAATTGTAAATTGCTACAATTATGCATAATCAATTAAGGAGGTAATGGGACAATCATTGCGATATGTTTAACTGGGAATCAGGGTACAGCAGTCTCTCCAGTTACTTGAGTGAAAATTGCAGGAGGACCACCTGTGTAGTTTGGGCTACTGTCTGTGTAGATCCAGGGTGCTGTTTTTGGGTGTAAAAGTAATTTAGTAGAAACCCAACATGAAGT